GTTGAGTGAGTGTCCGGCGCCCGGGATGTGTTGAGATGAAGGTTGAGAAGGAGGACAACGGTGCGAGCCAGATTGAGTGGAAGGCGACCCGGTGCTCACGCACGCGCTCGTTTGTGTGCGAGCGTGCTGGTGAGGCTGACGGCAGCACGACGACGCTTGCGGCAACGACGGGCGCTGCAACGACGGGCGCTGCAACGACGGGCGCTACAACGACGGGCGCTGGCAGCACTGGCGGCACCACGACGCTGCCTGACACAACGGAGCCTTCCCTGACCACGACGTCGACTGAGAACGAGGACGACGACGACGATGACGAGGAGGAGAACGAGAGCACGAGCACGAGCACGGCGACATCTGGCGCTAGCACGACGACAGCGAGCAACGGCGGCACCATTGCGCCCACTGGGTGGGTGGCACACGGCGGCCAGGAGTACCAGCTGTTTGGCGACGGCGACGCCAACTTTGACGAGGCAGTCGCCTTCTGCGAGAACGAGGGCGGCTCACTTGCGTCTGTGGGGTCTGCGTCTGAGCACGAGTTTGTTGCTGAGCTTGTTGCTGTGCAGAGCGAGGGCCGCCGCGGGAACGACCGTGTGTGGATTGGCGGCGTGGTTGATGGCGACACGCAGGAGCTGACGTGGGTTGACGGAAGCGATGCTTTTGACTTTGGGTATCCTTGGGATGAGCCTGAGGATGTGTGGGGTGCCCGGCGCCCGGCATGTGTTGAGATGAAGGATGAGAAGGAGGACAACGGTGCGAGCCAGATTGAGTGGAAGGCGACCCCGGTGCTCTCGCACGCGCTCGTTTGTGTGCGAGCGTGCTGCTGAGGCTGACGGCAGCTCGACGACGCGCGCGGCAACGACGGGCGCTACAACGACGGGCGCTGGCAGCACTGGCGGCACCACGACGCTGCCTGACACAACGGAGCCTTCCCTGACCACGACGTCGACTGAGAACGAGGACGACGACGACGATGACGAGGAGGAGAACGAGAGCACGAGCACGAGCACGGCGACATCTGGCGCTAGCACGACGACAGCGAGCAACGGCGGCACCATTGCGCCCACTGGGTGGGTGGCACACGGCGGCCAGGAGTACCAGCTGTTTGGCGACGGCGACGCCAACTTTGACGAGGCAGTCGCCTTCTGCGAGAACGAGGGCGGCTCACTTGCGTCTGTGGGGTCTGCGTCTGAGCACGAGTTTGTTGCTGAGCTTGTTGCTGTGCAGAGCGAGGGCCGCCGCGGGAACGACCGTGTGTGGATTGGCGGCGTGGTTGATGGCGACACGCAGGAGCTGACGTGGGTTGACGGAAGCGATGCTTTTGACTTTGGGTATCCTTGGGATGAGCCTGAGGATGTGTGGGGTGGCCGGCGCCCGGGATGTGTTGAGATGAAGGTTGAGAAGGAGGACAACGGTGCGAGCGAGATTGAGTGGAAGGCGACCCGGTGCTCACGCACGCGCTCGTTTGTGTGCGAGCGTGGTCTGGCTTGAAGCTGAATCAGCCGTGCACAGTTGATCTGTGCTTTGCGTTGGCGTGCTTGTGTGTTTGTCTGCATGTTTGGCTGGTTGTTACAGTTGTGATTGTGTTGTTTCTCTGGGCCCAAGGGGCCAATGTGGTTGTGACGTGCAATCAAGGCAATGCTGCTTTGTTTGGCGCCATGTTGTTTCTCTGCGTTTCTTTTCCAACTTTCACTGTGTGGTATGATTGTGGTGTCCACATGGGCAGCAAGTACACATATCAATCAAATGCAACGTGCGTTCAAAGTACATGGGACAACAAAGGAGGTGAAGAGAAGAGTGCTGAATCACGCTTCCCGCGCTGGCGATCACCCACTAATGGCGCGTGCTGCGAATGCGACGCGCCCGATGCTCCGACGCAGCCCTGCGGTCCACTGGGCACACCACAACAGCAACACAGAACAAGAACAGAACAGGACAGGACAGAGGACAGAGAACGTGTCTACGCGTCACATCATCATTCGCGACACCGCAGACGCAATCAATGACTTCTTGCTTGCTGCTGGTTTGTATGCTTCTGCTTCTTGTTCTTGTCGCTGGCGGCGTTTCTTTTGGTTGGGTTGGCCACACAAACCGCTGAGACTGTCTATGCGGATATGGTTTATATTGAGAATTGACCTCACGGAAAGTAAGGAGAAATCTGGGGATGACACCCCGGACAATTCCTTCGGTAGCTCGCCGTTATGGCGCAGTTGGGAGCGCGTTAGACTGAAGATCTAAAGGTCCCCAGTTCGATAGCAGTCGTTCAGGCCTTCGCAACACAGAAGGCACAGAAACCCTGGGTGACGGCACTACCTCTCTCTTTTTTTTTTCCTGTCGCCCTTGGTGACAAGAAAGCCAGGTCGTCAGTCACAGGCGCACACCGAGCAGCGGACACCACCACCACCACCACCACCAAGACCAAAGTCGTACGCAGCCCAGGGGCCATGTCCTCCTCTGGCGTGGAAGAGCCACTCCAGCTCCAAGTGGAGTACGACACACTCGTCAACAGCCTCACCGAGCTCCAAGGTGCGGTGGATTGCGTGTGTGCTTGCGTGTGCTTGAGTTTGCATGCGTGTGCTTGAGTTTGCTTGCGTGTGCATGTCCGCATGTGTACATGTGTGCATGTGTCTGTGAGCATGTGGCCCTCTGCGCACGTGAGACTGTGCGTTACGTGCCAGATCGAGTGCGCATGGTGCTCTGATTTCATGAATAGACGCGTCTGCGTTGCTAGCTTGTCTTGACCATGTCCCTCTCATGGCTACCTTCCTGCCTATGTGTGTCTGTGCCTGTCTGTGCCTGTGTGTGTCTGTGTGTCTGTGTGTCTGTGTGCGTGTGTGCGTGTCTCTCTCTGATTCTTACTCTTGTTCTCATCCGATCTCACGCTTGACATGCCTATGCACGCTTCTGTATCCTTGCGTAGGAAAGCACTCTGGGCAGTGTGTGAAACATGAAGCCATCCGGGCTGTGCTGGAGCGCGTCGGTTCTTGTGTAGGTTCATGGTGACCATGCTGTTGAAGTTGCGCCTGTGTGCGCGTACCTATGTGCGTGCGTGTGTGTCTGTGCGTGTGTGTGTACCTCTTTGTGTACGTATGCGTGTGTGTGTATGTGCATGTGTGTGTGCGCGCATATCTGTGTGCCTGTGTGTGTGTCTGTGTCTCTGTGTGTGTCTGTGTCTGTGTGCGCGCGCATACCTGTGTGTGCGCGTGTGTATGTGTGTGCGTGCGTGCGTGCGTGCGTGCGATCCCCTCTTCCCACTGTA